GCAGGTATAAGTAAGGAATTCCCATGAATTCCTCCTCATGTTCAATAATTTTCTAGGACAGCTCATACAACTTTGAGAAATCATTTACTAACTATGACTAGTTTATTGTAAAGGACACAACTCAAGAACACCCAAATGGAAGAGATGCATAGGCAAGGTATACTAGAGGGTGTGAGAAGCTTTCATATTCTCTCTGGGCACTCTCCTAGCACCTCAAAGTGTTCACCAATCTGGAAGCTCTCAAACCCCGTTGTTTAGTTTTTTAATTGAGATTCTATCACATAGACATGATTGATAAAATTATCTCCCAGTGATTAAAATCAATTTCTAGCCTATCTTCCCAGCCTTGAAAGTTCCAACCCTCTAATGACATGGTTGGTTTTTCTGGCAACAACCCCACCCTGACCAATAATCACCTCATTAACATAAACTCATTAACATAAACTCAGGAAATGGTTGTAAGAGTTTTGTTATGAATAACAAAAAATGCTCTTCTCACCCTTCAATCTCAGGAAATTCCAAGGGTTTTGGGAGTCATGTGTCAGGAATCAGGGCAGAGACCAAATGTATATATATTTCTTATCATGTCTCATTGCTTATTTCCTTCCACTAAGTTTTGAACTCCTTACAAGGATTATCTGAATTTTATTAATCTTTGAATCACAGGTGTCAAGTTTGTTGTCTGAAACTCAATATTTGTTGGATTAATGCTTGCATGTGTCAATGAATTTGAAAATAATTTAATAAATTTAACTCCACTGAGTAAATATTTTATCTATATTTTATACTTGATATTTCATTGTGAGCTAAATTTAATCATGGGAGAAATACAAGAATAAAGTTCAAAATAAAAGAATGGTAGAAAATATTGGGAGATTGTTCCTTCTGTGGCATTTTCAAAATTTGGTCTATTTAAAAATATGTTTGAGTGTGATCAGATGGGTGGAAGGTGATAAGGCAAACATAAGGATTACTATATTAGGACCATAACCCTTCCCCTTCATGGCTGCTTACTGGAAACACTCCACCACTTACAGGAAAAAATCACACCTGGCACCACCATCATTGTCATGGGGGGCGGGGAGCGAGTTGGTTGAGCAACCAACTGACCTAATCTTCATCTATCTCCCTCAGCTACCCCTAGCAACAAGCCAATCACAAAAATTTTCCAACCTAACCAGTTTCCTGGCACTTTCCCTCTACCCTTCTATGACTACTGAAGGACTAAAGGATAGACTGCAGGAGGTCCCAAAAGGTGATAAGTGGTCAAGGAGACACTTCTCCCTAGGAAAAACCTGTTTGCATCTGAAAGGCATCTTCCGCCATCAGGCAATGCAAAAATAGGCTATAAAACCCCACTCCCTACCCTGGCCTACAGAATCACCTGTTTCCGGGTCCCCCTGCATTCTCCAATATGCAGTCTTTCTTTTCTCTTCGCTACAAATAAAATCTTTCCGACCTCTGCTGTTGGCGCCACCTGTGCTTTCATCCTCAGAGCAGGCAGAAGAATCCTGTGCACCTGAAATTCCTGCGCGTGACATCCGTGCATCACTACCCGCAGTCTGTAAGCAACAGTGGGCTCCAATGTCTGATGGAGACCCCCTTCACAGGTTTCTTCTCCCATATAAAACCTGTGCTAACATTGAACTCTCTCCTGCCTATCCTTCTTCTGTTCCTCATTTCAGTCTAACATCTGGTGCTGAAACCCAGAACAGAGTTTGAGGCTTAGCTCTCAGCTCTCTGCTCTTTGCAACTTTGGAAGCAGCTCTTCCCGATTTAACTCCCAGATCCTAAGCAGAGGTAGTCATCCTCCCCCATGATACCTAGCATAGTGTGAACTCTCTACACACTAAAAAGCCTGAGGATCTTGTGGCTGAATTATAACTCTTTCATGGGGAAAACTATGCAATGAAACCTAGGACTTGAGAAATTGTAATCTCAGGATGAAAATGGCATTCAAAGCTTGGCACTAATAACTGCTCCCCTTTTCAAAAATGTAGCATCTTTTTCCTACTGAGAAACACATGATCATTTTTGACCTAAAGAATGCAAAAATGAGGCATGATTGAATCATGTGCTGACAGGATGGGTCAAGCACTGGCTGTATCTATCAGGGAAAAGTAGTAAAAGAGGCCTGCCTATAAAAGATGAATGTAGAAGAGTCACATTTTTCACATTCCAGATGAAGGCAAATATAGGATGTTTTTTAAAAAAAATAGTTAAATATTTATTTATATTTAAAATTCAAATTCCCCTATGCCACACATGGTTTCTCACAAGAGATACTGATATAGCCTCAGAAATCAATGATAGGTCAAGGCAGGTAGAAACAGTTACTTTTGCTTTCCTTCCCTAATCTTTTCCCTAGTGACCCATGGCTTTCATATGCTCTTCTACATTCTAAAGAGAGATATCTGTAGCAACTCTTCTCCTCAGAAAAGAAAATTCAGGGGCCAGCTTTAGGTCAAGGTCCCAGATCTAATCAACTTTCAAGGAAAAGGAGAAACAGATGGAGCTCTGGAAAGACAGACTGCCCAGCAAGAGGATTTCCCACCCACTGTCCCACTGTAACCCATTGTGTCTCATTAAAAAATCCTTCACACTCCCTGCTTTCCTCTTCCCCCACACCTTAATGGAGACTTGGGACAAAAAAGTCTCCTCGATTTTCCTCAGGAGTGGCCTTGGATGAATCTATTTCCTTCCATTTATTTCTGTCTCTTCGTTTTTTCAGTAGGGGGATGGGCAGTAGGAACCTTAGATTTGGGTAATGGTTTGACAAACACCCACTGTAACAATAAGGAAAAGTTGGATACATTTAAAAAAATCATTTTAAAAGCATCAGAGAGCTGTGGAAGCAAACAAAATAAATTATTAAACTTCCCTAAAGAGGGGGAAAAATCATTTCCAGGAGAGATGATATTAGCTAGCCATGTTTCCTCTAAGGATATTGTGGAGGAAAGCCCCTTTCCACTTACAGAGGCATGGCGGGAACAAAATACCAAGAGCCCGACTGAATGAGGAAGGAGGGGCTGAGCTTGCTCCTGGGCCCAGGAAGTTCAAACCACGATCAGAGGTTGAAAGAACCAATCAACAAGGCCCACTAGACTGCAAACAACCAATCAGCAAAATCCCAGGCAAACTCTATTAAAGTCCCTCTCCCCTCCCATATCTGTGCAGCGGTAGCCACTGCCCTGCATTTGTAGCAATATGCTTCTTTACCTAGATGCCTGCCATTTTCTTTCCTTCTAACTGATATCCTAGTAAATATTTGCTTTCTGGTAAATTCTTTTACCCACCCATGTTCAAAATCCAGGACATCATTATGGTCCATTCATGGGTTGGGAGCTTATGGCAACTTATTTTTCCAGGAACTTTATCTCCTCTTTTCCACATTGCTACACCCCATTGAAGGTAAAGAACCTGCCCGTCCTCTCATTTCCGTCTCCACTTCCACCACATGGTGCAGAATGCAGCTGGTGAATCATTCATACAGCTGTGGGTGACTTTTCCTGTCTTTACTTTCACTTTCAAATCCCTCTGACCTTCCTGGGAGACCCCATCTTTGCCCAACAGAAGACGATCTGGAACCAGTGGTGAGTAATCCCTTTTTCCTTCCTTTTCCCAAGTCAGGACTAATCAGTCAGCCTGTGGGGTTTCATCTTTTCTGAGGGTCACACTCGACCTTTGGGGGACCCTCTGACTAGCAAAACGTCACTATCAGAGGCTACTCTTTCATTCCCAGGATTTTCAGACTTTTCTCTTTGGGTGGGCCACCCCTATAAGACTTAGGGCACTGGAAAACCCCTCCCCTGCCCTGTGCCCTGTGCCCTGTGCCTTGATCCCCTCTGACTCATCCCTTGGCCACACTCCTTGTAATGTTTCATGGCCACATTACAAGCAGCCAATCAACGTGAACCCCCCTCCAACCCCCCTCTTCTATCCTGCCA